TCCTTGTTCAACTAGATCTCTGTCTGCCAGGATGAGCTGCTTCCCATAGTACTCCTCCTGAAGCAAAGGAATATACTGTTAGGATATTTTAACAAGAATACTCAGAGCAGACAGGTACTATTCAAGTAGATGTTCATTTTCTATTTAGTTCTCACTCTCCTGAGACCCTGCATTGAATAAGCAAAAGATGGATGGACTGGTGATTACAAAGTACTAATTGAAGCGTTCAGATCACTTTCTACAAGTCTCATTTACCCAATCACACAGGCCCACATTCATACTCAACTTTAGTCTATACCTAAACACTTTCTTTTAGTTATACGCACCCACTCACACTCCGATGATAATTGGAGGGCAACTCGCTCTTTAGTATCATGCCCAAGAATACTTTGACATGTGGACTGGAGCAGCTGGGGATCAATTCAGTAACCTGCTGACTGCACCTTGGGCTGTGCTCTGAAGGACATGTCGTTGTCAAATACAACTCCAAGATTCCTCACAGTGTTACTGGAGGCTAAGGCAATGACATCCAGAGTAAGCATATGGTTACATATTTCGAAGGTTTTAGGGCCGCATACAATAACTTTATCTGAATTCAGAACAGGAAATTAGAGGTCATCCAGGTCTTTATGTCTTGAAGACATTCCTGCAGCTTAACTAACTGGTGTGTGTTATCTGGCTTTAAGGACTGATAAAGTTGGGTGTCATCTGCATAGAGAGACATCAGCCCATACACCGTGCTGCCCTGGCAGCATGAGTGGGTGCTCAGGAACCTGAATGTGAGCTGGGAGCTGACGCTGCACACTCATGGGGGTCAGAAGGTCGTGCTGGAGCAGAGCCGAGCCTACTTCTTAGAGTCCTCCGCGATCGTCCGCTGGAGCGCAGGGTGCTTCCCGTCCTACCATCACATCAGCAGCACGGAGTCAGCCAAGAAGCTGGCCTGGCGCTCTAGGATTTTAAACCTATATATGCAGACTCATCCGTTCATCGGCAAAGACAGACAGATCAGGCATCGGCATCTGGAGGGGTCGGAGTATTGTGGCCTTCATCATGAACAGCCTGCACTTCCACAGGCTGGTGGAGAAGATTCTGCTGGGATCTCCAGTCTGCCCATACTCCGGATCTTTGGACCCGCCCCCCCGTGGACGAATCAGACCCTGAATTTGGTCTCCACGACTACACTCTGCACTTCCTCCAGCATGCAGATCATGTAGGGACACTTTTGGCAGCTCTCCTGCAGCACAATTCAGCAGGGACTTTCTGAGTCAGCAGGACCAACATGTCCCAGCAAAAAAAACACAGTTTTCCAAATAATTTCTTAGATTAGAAAATATTATGTCTATAAATATTAATAACTAGTGGGTCTAAGTTATTATTCTTGAGAATCGGAGTAATTCAAGTATATTTAATAGAACCAATGAAAATGCTAGTCTGTAGAGAACTGCTTATAATACGTACTACATCATTTGTAAAACAGTGAGATACAGATTTGAACAATTTGTTGTGGATGGGATCAAGTAAAGAGATGCAAGATTTAACTGATGAATAATTTCTTCCAGATTGTTAGCATTTACAGGTGAGAATGAGGACATTGAGCTTGTGGTATTAATTTGATCAAAATGTGAGGAAGTCCTAGATAAATGAATATGAGAGACATTAGACATCTCTAATCGTACACCGATCGTCTGAAGAAAGCAAGAAATTACATTTATTTGTTGAAATTAATTCATTGAATTATCCAATTCAGGACCCAGGTCTGAATATGCAGTTAAAAAACCCGACGGGATTCATCCTTTTGATTTACTATAATTACTCATTGTAAATCATATGTCTTCGAGTAACACGTACTGAAACCCAGTTCTTATGTAAAAAGTAAGACATTTCTTCCTATTTCTGAATCAGTCCTACAGCCAAAACAAGCAGCTCCTCTCCTGGGACGAGCTTTCATTTCAGCTCTGGTCAAAATCCTCCGGACTCACCAGCGCCTCTTTGCCCACGGTGAGAATGGATGTGTAGGCCTCCAGGTAAACTCTGGAGCAGCTCTTCACCGCCTGTAAACCCTTCACTGTAATGTCTGTGGCGTCTCCGAGCCCCAGACCGATCAGATACAGCATCCTGCCGGTCCCGCCTTCCGTACAGGGTCAGTGTTACTGCCGCAGCACTTAACGGAGCTAAAACTTCTTAAAAAGAAGCACCCAGGCGTGAAACTTTCCCGTATTCACGTGGGGACTCGCTGCGCTACTTGGAATACGGCTTGTCGTGAACTGTTTACAGTTGCGACAGCTACAGCCGCGATACGGTTAAGTCTTCAGCCGACGGCAAGCCCTGATACATGGCTCGCATATGTTTACAACTTGATCTAGTTTCTTGTTAAGCGGGAGCTTTGAGTAGTTTTACTAGAGCTTGATTTACAAGCGGGTCTGCGTGTGTCCATCATGGCAGCAGTCTTTCTGTTGGAAATAACCGTAAAACGTGTGTATATCTTACTTCTGAATTACAAGCAGCTCAATGAACTTTTGTGTCAGGAGAAGCAGAAATGGCTAAAAGTAGAAAGTATCAGTGTGACAATGGACTTCCTCCTTCAAGGAGACAGAGCAGCAGAGAGGCATGTAAGCATGTAAGACTGCATTATTATGATTATTCCGGTTGGGGGGGGGCTTTTCAGATTTCCACAAATGACAGTTGCTCCATCCATCCAAAGTGGGATGGATGCCGTTGTTTTTGATCCAGAAAATCTCCTAATTATCTGTAAAAACTCACATCGTTTTGTACACAGCAGTACAAAATGATGTGATTGGGGAGGGGACCCGAGAGAAAACAGTCCAACATAGCAGTTTTCTAATCTCCCTGCGCACTCAAAGCACCTCATTCACACCAGCACTTTTTCTATTCAAGTTCTTTTTATACAACACTCACATCCATACTCTGATGAATACATCAGAGAACAACTTGTGGTTAGTATCTTGTCCACAAACATTTTTGCATGCAGACTGGAAGCAGCCAGAGATCAAACCATCGACCTTCCAATTAGTAGATGACCTGCTGTACCTCCTTCTCTACCTCCCAAGCAACTCCTAAGTAGCTTGGGGTGAGTGCAGCTCGAGTGGAGTGCAGGATTTCTCCAGTGGAGAGCTACATTATTACAAACTGGAATCTGTTTGGAACGGCTGGTCTCTAAGTTTTAGTAAAAGAACATTATTTATCATTAGATCACAAGCTGTCCGAATCACGACATTGATGTCCCATGTCGCTTTAAAAAAAAAGAAGTTTTATAGCATACCTATCGTTGTACATGTACAGTGACAATAAAGGGCTATTCTATTCTAAGTTTGAAAAAAAAAGTTGACCAATTTTTCCAAGAAGCCATGTCTCAGTCTAGGAGGATGATATATAGTGAGGACTAATACAGGCAGAAATACAGAGTTATTACTAAACTTTTTTTAAATATATAGAACAGTAATCCCACCACCCCTCCGAGATGTCAAGGAGAGTAACAAAGAGTTGTATAACAGACAAATTAGTCGTATTTCACTAAAATCTGGAGGTTTTCTGCGAACTGCGAGGGATGAACTTTATCCTAAAATAAGTCTGTCACAGTTGAGAGGCAAGAGAAGAGAGACTATGAATAGCAAACAGATTAAAACAGATTACAGAAAATTA